CTTTTAAAACATAATAATGTAGTAAATTCTTGTCATACATAGATACCGATAAAACTAAATTAAGTAAAATAAACTAAAATAATTCTAGTTTATTATTACAAATTATTTAAAATAAATACGATAATTAGAAACTACTGACATAATTATACATGCCACTATAAGTCAAAAGAAACGTCATAGACATCTTACTGATACTGATGATATGTATGTCTTTCCAGAAAGATGCTCCGATAGCTCCTTACAGATCGTACTTATCCTTATTAGAACCTACGCATGAAAATCATCACGCGCTAAGTATAACTTAGTGAGGCAATAATAATCTAGGGTGAGTAAAATCTGAAATTTATCATAAACGTAAATAAAATAATTCAACTTAAAACATTAAACTGGCAAACCAACTTATCTAAGTCGATTTCTTCACTGAGACCTGAAATTTCTTTTTAAATCATGAACTCATGAAAATTCTGATAAATCATATCTAATAAAATAAGCACATCATGCTTTCTGTTAACTGAAAATCATTCACAACTTGCATATTCATTTTCATAGCCTAATGCATATTTATAAGAACATAAGATACGTGAGTAAGGTGCGCACTATGCACAACACGGTGCAAATCGTAACTGATATTGAGATATGATGCACTTCAGTGCCATCATAACCTGAATAGGCACCAACGGTGCTGGACATTGATACACGAATGTACCAAAGCTGATAGGATAACATTGATACACGAATGTACCAAAGCTGATAATACTCAACTAATGGCATGCCAAGTGTACCCATAATTCTCATTATACATACAATGGGCTCATGTGTCATAATTAAATCCATAATCAAAATATCATGCTTGGGCAGTTCATACCCTAAATCATTCATAAACTGATATAAAATATTATGAAAATAATCTTTATAAATCATACTATAAATTGGAATGAGGTTGACTTATCGCAAGTCGTCCTCGATCAAAATAATTAAATAAATAACTGCATTCACCTTTGCCTCACTACAGAACTTGTATATAATAATCCTAGTCACGAGCTTTTTCCTTTCCTTTCGAATCGTTCGGATTGCTAGATTTAACGTAGTCTGACAATACCAAATTATAAAACAAAAATTGTTCGAACTACATATTAGTATCGTACTAATATAAGCTCGTTTTAACATTTGAAAATCTATATAGTAAAATCGATAACTAAATCGATAACAACCATACTCATAACTCCATTATAACTTCAAACTTATCGAAACACTTATTCAATTCCATAAATAATTATTTTCAGCATGATTCTTCAACTTTTACGAATTATAAAATCTAACCACATATTTTAAATTCTTTCTAGAATTCAACTTAACTTTTCCTTTAATTTCATAATAGCTCTTCACTATTATGATTATTTCCCATCAAATATATAAAATTTCCAGCAACTAAAATAAAAGTTCAAATCAATAATTCAACTCAAATGCTTACAATTTCATCCTAAACTTTCTTAGGCTTTTCAATTTCAACCTTACAACTTGATAAACTTGAAATTCAATCCCAACTTAATACTTAAACTCCAAAATCAGCACACTTTCCAGAATTTCCAGAATTATTCTAACTCACCCAAATGATACTTTTACATTTAAAAATTACTCTTCATCTTCTAATCCATTTCAACTTAAATTCTAAAATTTCCATATTCAGACAACTTGCACTATCTTTAAAGAATCAGTATTCTGTGTTGATATACACACTGGAATTTAATTCTGTTTCTTCCATTGAAAACTAGACTCGAATACGAATCTATCCATATAAAGAACTCTTTCTAATTCATTCTTTACAATTTATAGTGAATTTTCAAAGTTGATCAACAGAATCTGTTTTGTGCAGAATATACTGTCCGTTTTTCTGACCTTTCCTCAGTTAAAAATTCATATCTTTCTGTATACACATTGAAATTGATCTCCGTTTGTTTTAAACAAAACTAGATTGATATAAGAACATAATATATAAAAATCATCTCCAAATAATTTTATAGAATTTCTGGTGAATTTTCAAACTTACTGCCAGATTCCAAAATCTAAACTGTTTTCATTAATTTGCATCCTTGGTTCTTCTTCAATTCTTACAACACTTCTAATATCAAGAATTGATATTTAATCATAAAAATCACACTTCCTCTTCATCCACCATAAATACCCATTTTCACATTTAAGCATGAAACCAAGAAATAATTATACCATCTTGTAGAGAAAATAGGATAGAACAATTTCTTATTTCACAATTTAATCCCAAAACTCACCAAATTTGATCAAAAATAGAAGAAAACAAATTGACTCACCTTGTCTATGGGTTTCAGCAGCTAGCTGGAGAAGAGAGAAGAGTTTCACGATGGTTCTCCAAAATATCTCTAATTATTAACCTTTAAAACTAATTAAATGAATTTTTTTATTCCTTTTTGAACCAAATACCAAAATTGCCCTTAATAAATCTTGAAAATTACCAAATGCCATTGTATTATCTTCTATTAAAATATTCCTTGGTAAAAGATGATACAACTTGACTTTGACTTTCGAAATTGACCATGCAATTTTTAAAAATTGCATTTTAGTCACTAAAATTCCATTTGTTTGGTCAAATCTGAAAAATTGCACTGTTCTGAGCCAAATTTCTCTGATCGAAAATATGAAAATAATATTTCCAACCATTTTCTAACATCCTTCAAATTTTTGTAAAATTTCAGCTCGATCCGAATATCTGATTTCAATACTGAAATTTATTGCTTTATATCTTTTATCAAAATTCTCGTACCAAAAATATGATCCCACTAAAATCTCTGTTTTAATCCAAATTTTTCATTTACAGGCATAAAATATATATCTTTTAAATTACAACCTTCAGTCCCTACACTTTTCAAAGTTTATACTTTAGCCACTAAACTTTCAAAACTTACATTTTAGTCACTGGTCAAATTTTGAGGTATTACACATATGACCAATACCATTTATCATGTATACAGTTGCTCATATGACCAATACCATTCATGAATGACTTTGAATTATCAACTCACAGGAGCTATATCTTGCGGTGGAAAGGATTGGGCTTTTCTTGCGGAAGACATCTGAAGGGAATCAAGGTCTGCAATGTAGCCTTTATTCATTTTGAACCATTTGTCCTCATCAGCTACATTGCTAAAAGAGTCTGGAAGAGGACTGAAATCTTGCAACTGTGAATTATTTGATCTCGTGGCGACAAAGCCGTTGCCGGCAGCTTTAAAACAAGGGGTTTTAAAATCGTCCCCTCTATCGTTGCGTTCATCTTTTGGACTTTCTTTGCTGTGGAATCCTGCCCTCTCCAAAAGAAAATTCATTAACTCACTCTCACAGAGATAAAAGAAAAAAGAATTCGAATAGGGCATGATAAAAGAGTGCATCTCAAATATTTGGCAGAAAAGAATGGACTCGAAAATAATAAATAATTCTTTAACAGTCAACTTCAAATTTGACGCCATACTTCAGTACTAGAGAACAAAGAAGTCCATGAGACTAGCTAAAAGATTATAATAGAAAATGAAATTTGCTACCAGAATTCAGTTACTGCCTTATACCACTTCTGTAAATTTGCCCATTAGTAGTTAAAAGTTAAACATTTGCACTAGTCCGTAGATAAACATATGGAAGAGGAAGGTCATGTGACGCAGGATTATATAGTTCAAAGGCTTAAGATATCCGATCACATGAATTACTGAAAAGAAAGCAAACAAGAAAGCAGAAGCCAGAAGGAAAAACTACAATTCTAAAGATAAATGAAGTGTTTCAAACGATGGAAAGATGCCTTGATTTCCAAGTAACGTGCTTTGGGGTTGCAAAAATAGAGGTGCTGGTCTTGTAGTTTAGGAAACTTCTATCACCATCTGAAACCAGACTACTTAGGTTTTCGATCTTCAGCTGCTGGTCTCTAATGCGTTGTTCTCGTTCTTTGTGTGATCTTCTTTCCTCTTCCAGTTCCATTTCAAGCGTCTCACGCTCTAGTTCATACTGCAATTGGAACATCAGCAGACAAATATATATATGATATATAAATATGTATATGGCTATGCTAATAACTGGTGGCACAAGAAGATAATACAAGTTCTATAAAAAATATGAACCTTAAGCATGTCGTTCCTTAGCTTTAATATCCTGTTCCAGCACTTCAGAACGAGACCCCTGAACAAAGTTTAACTATGTTAGATAGCTTTGACTCTATTGTTAGTACATGTGACCCGAGCCTCACCTGAAGCTTCCTGCGCAACTCCTCTATCTCTAACTGTTGCCTTTTAAGTAAGGCTGCATCAGTCATAATCTACAAGCAAGTGGACTATGATTAGTTTTATGTCAAATTCATGCCAAACCAATAAAATAAAAATGATGAGAAGAGAAGTGGATTCTTTCTCCTATTTGTCATATGGTAATATAAGAAAATATTTCACAATTTGGATCATAACTAGAGTTGAGGATCCATATTAGACAATAATGTGGTCCAAGAAAAGAAAGACGGACAAACCTCATTCACTTGGGCACAATTAGTGATGCGTTTAGCTCTACTAGCAAACAGAAGAGTTCCCTTGGTTTCCTCAACGTGAACCTAAACATGTGATATAATAGTTAAACCAAATGCTCTGTTGATTACACTATTAATCTCCCCTTCGGAGAAATATAAGGAATAAGAAAAGGCCATAGAACAGCCACAAACACACACTGAAAGGAAGACTACCTCTTCTGGTGCTAAAGTGCATATATATAATTGAAGTTTTGGCATTCCCACCTAGAGCAGTCTGGAGTATGCGGGTTAATTTACTATCACGATAAGGAATATGTGCCCTGTAATTGACAATAAGTCATATGGTTAGAACATAGTTATTCCATCCTACAAAAAGTTACATCTTGGATGATAGCAGTACCTTTGTTTGCACCATTACTAAGTTTATTAATTACATTACCAAGAACCATTAAGCTCTTGTTAATATACTTTCCTTAAACGTACTCCGCCAGCACCAGTTTTAGCAATCCTCTCAGAACCAGCCAAATCTACTAAATTCTACCAGGAAAATATGACTGCATAGATTAACAGGATGAAGTAGGCTCCAAAAAAGAAAAAAGGGTTATCAGTGTGATGAGATTCAAACCAAAACCGAGACACGTATTGCATCGCTGCTTGAATAATCAGCGGATTGGCGTGAATCAATTCCCTTGCTTTCAATCACCTGGCAATGGAAAAGAAATGTAACAAATATTAAAAGTAAAATTCATTCTGCTAATAAATATTCATGCTCAGCAATATATTAAAAGAGCATACCATTTGATATTGTATGAGACCTACTACTTCGTGCATTCTATTCGTCACCAAAATGCCTATTAACTGTGAGAAGAGTACAAAGTATTAGCAAAAATTCTGCCATATAAAACTAAGAGTAAAATAAGCAATTTAAAGGACCTTCTCCTGACTCTAGAAGTTTTATCACTTGTTCAGCATTGTTCACAATTTCTTCTCTGAGACCCGCGACAAAAATCCCACGCTGAGAAAACAGGAAAACCCAGTTATTTCATTTCCATGGTTTATGTATATGAACAATTGAAACTTCATCGAAATTTAATCAATGCCCGACCTCCAGGCTCTCATGAATCTGCAATTTCTGATTCTCTACCGCGAAAAGGTCGATAATTTCTTCATTATAAATTTCCATGTAGGAAACTCGTATCAGAAACTCTCGATCAGAAATCTGGGAGTGCAATTCAACACCAAGAAAATCAAATTCAAAACTTCAATTTTGAAATATCTAATCTCAATTTAAAACACTAATCGATTTAACTCACCATCTGTATTTTTGAAATACATCGTTAACAGCTCGAGAATGATTCCGGGATCGTTCGGTGAACCATTCATAGTGAATGTCTTGCCACTGCTCGTTTGTCCGAAAGCAAATGCAGTCCCTAAAACATTAAAAAGAAGGTAAACATCTTACTAACCGGTCCAGATTTTAAACATATCATCAAAATTAGATCTGAAAAATGAAGATGAAAACGAACCGTTAAAGCCATCGACACCAGCGTGAATAACATCATTCGTAAGAAGCTCATAAACCTTTCCATTAGAACAAGTTTCATCGAATACATAATCTACGAACAAACAAAAAGAATTGAGTCAAAAAGGAAAGGGAGGAGAGGAGGGGGAAAGGGGGAAACTGAGATTTACCGAAAGCGTAAGAAACGCCGGAAATGGGGGTGCCGTGAAGCTTGTGAAGAGAGATACGATTGTCTTCGACTCTCCAGAAAGTTCCAGAACAAGTTTCTTGGGAGATCGGAGGTCTTAGTCTCACTGCAACGCAGATCTTCTCGGCCATAGTCTTTTCTTCCTTTTTTTTTTTTTTGAACGTTGAGTTGCAGAGAGAAGAGGCGGGATCTTTATTTTATTTGAATAATTTGGGTTCATTGGGCAGCTTGCTTCTACCGGAGCTTCTATTGAAAAGATTTGGGCCTATTTCGGCCTTTTAACCGACCTAGATCTAGTAAAATCGGCCCAATAAGCCAAGCGGAAAAAATCCATTAGGTCAACCCGGATTTTAATTTGGGATTTACGATAAATGGTACAGTGCATGGTAAACTCATCAAGCTCACATGACTAGTTTGTCCAAATAATATTTTTCTATTCAAACTCGTCGTGTTCAAACTCGTTCGACACGACGAGTTTTAAAAAGATTAATTGTTTTATTACAATGTCACGTCGGGGTGATAAATTTCAATAAAAAAAAATATTGTATTGAAACTCTTCATGTCCACCTGACAATCCAAGGCACAGTAGCAAATGTCGTAAATTCAAAATTAATTTTGGACATGGTTAATGGACCAAATATTTTACCCGCTTGATCTTATGGGCCAATTTTGCTTAATTTTCATAGCCCTTTCAAAATAAACTCATAGATATAAATGAATCGAATTTAAATGAGCATGCTAAAAAACTTAGATTTATGTATATTTTCATTTATTTAAAAATGTGTTGGTTATTTTAACGTTTATAAAGAAATAAATATATTTATAGAAATATTAAAAATGTATTAGAATAAAATCTTAATTACATCTAAAAGATGAAATGAGATATTCCCGTTAATTTAATATATTATGTCCGTTTAACATAGGGTTGTTCATGGACGGTTAACCGTACCGTTTAGTCTAAACGGTCGGTTAACCGTTATAATGGTTATGAGATTTTTCTAACCGTAACCTAATTATTAAGAAACGGCTAACCGTTATTAACGGTTCAGTTACAGGTTAACTTACAGTCAACCTATTACAATTATTTGTCAATTTTTTTCATAATTCATACTAAAAAAATGTAGCACTTAACATATATTTACACCGTTGTATGTAAATCTCCCAAAATCTTAATACCTAACAATAAACATATATTTATATCGGTGTAAGTAAGTTTTTTATTTTCAACTAAATAAAAACTAAAAAATAAAAAAAAATATTAAGTTATTATATACAATTATATATTTATTATAATAATATAAACTTATATCAAGTTATTTGTATAAAAATATAATAAATTAGAAATATAATTATAAATTTTTATTAACGGTTAAATGTTTATCAAAATTCCTAACTGCCATCTTAACTGTTAACTATCATTTTTAACGGTTCGATTATTCGAAACTGTTTAATATTAACAGTTTGATTAATTAACATGTTAAATATATCGGTTATACCGATTAACGGTTTCAGGTTTTTTTGGACACCCCTAGTTTAACATCAATTAACGACGGACTGATATCATTTTATAACAAAATCAAAACTTTAATATTTATTTTATGATTTTTAAAAAATTAATAATTAAAACAATCCAGTTTTGTGTTGATTTTATAATTTTACCGCATAAAAAGTACGAATATCGACGCATTAATTTATCTTCTTAAAAATATAGCCCTAAATAATTTTTAAAATTGTGAGTTTTTAAAATAAAAGGGAAAAAAACCTCTGAATCCTCCTGATTGGGAAAGGCAGCATTTGGAAAATGCAGTAAGTTGACCTAACTCGAGTTGAACTTTAAAATTGTGAATCTGAACTCGACATGCAATAGGTCGCGGCGGTAGTGGGTTGTTCTAGTGAGGGAATTTGGGGGAAGGGAAAGGAAAGGGCGGTGGAAGAGCAAGAAAGAGGTGCTCCGGCGCAAGTGGGAAAACTAGGAAAGAAGAAGAGTATATTAAGTAAGGGTAAACTATAATTTTGTCCCTAAATTACTTTAAATTGATAAAATGATCCCTAGTTAGTATGTTATCTAAATTTCATTTAAGGGTTAATTAAAAATCAAACTCTTTTACTAACATGCCGCGTCAGAAAATCATTAAAGATTTATCGACTTTGTGACTATATTTTAACTAAAGATAAAAGTGACTACGAATTACATCTTTTAAATCTTTTGATCATAGTCTATAATACAAAAACAAGAGTGACCAACTAAAATTAGGTGAATGTATATATAAAATTGTTTTAAAGTTGCATTCAGGATTGAAGGGGATAGTGGACACCTTGTCAAGTCCCAAGCTAAATGGTTTGTTTTACATCAAATTCCATGGTTGAAAACCTTGATTGACTAACTGCTGCCCTTCTCCAATCATTGAACCCTGTTGAAGATTATCACAAAAAAATCAACTAAATTTTGGTTATTAGAATAGTTCGGTTTCGATTTGGTCAATTAATCTGATATTAATTTCAAGTGAATGATGATTAGATTAATTGATTAATATTAGAAGGAATTATTAAATAAATAAAAAATAGGGTTTTTTTATTATTTAATTTTAAACAACCCCAAACATAATTAATTTAAAAATTGATCTTCAAACTACACCAGTAAGATATTTAACGTTCTGTAACAAATGATGTCAGACCTTACGTTTTGAAAAACGCAAATTTTCAGATAATTTTATTTAATTTTTAGATAAAAGACGCAGTAAATACATAAAACTCACTTTTCATAAAACATAAAAGTTTACCACATTTTCCGCATAACACAAAATTATCCTACGTGAACAATTTGAGGGATATTTCTCCAATTAAACGCGAAGTCATCTAAAATAGTGATTAAAGTTTGTTTTTCCAATAAAGTAATAATCGAGGTTTTTCAGAATAATGGCATATTAGAAGAGGGAACAAAACAAGGACAGAAGTAAACGTTAGAAGAAACCAGTGCGTCATCACGTGATAATCTCGTGGGGGTGCTCTTATCATTTTGAAAAAAAATAATATCATATACGACAAGATAATCCCAATCTATCGTCCAAAATTTATTCCATACGTGTCGACATCCCCGTCCGCTTACCAAATTTCTTAGTGGACCCCACCCTCTAGAAGTAGATGAGAAAGTAAGTAACTCACCGAGAAAGGGCCCGCCTGATAACTTGGGACAGCAGCGCCGGTGCGGTCAAATGGGGCAAATGGCCTTCCGTTCTCAAAATCTCCACCGTCGTTCGTCCGCCTAGATGGGTCCTAAAATAATCCGCCACCGAGGCCGGAACAGACACGTCTCTGGATGTCTGGATGACGCAGCACGGTACCCTCACCAGCCCAAGTACCCCCCTCAGATCACTGTTGAACACCGTCCTGGAAACGAACAGCGATATGTCCGGTCTCATGTTGAAAAGAGTCCGGCTGAACTCTCGAACCGCAGTCGGCACATCTGCCCCCACCGCCAGTGGGGCAAACCCGTTGACCCAAGCTTCATAATTCGCTTCCATTGCTGAAAACACCTTCTCAATCTCACCTTGCTCGAAACCCCCATGGTAGTCCTCGTCATTAAGAAACCTAGAAAACCACAATTTTGCATTTTTGATATCCCATCCATATAATTCAATTAAAATCCCCAACACTAATTCAACGGTGAAGAAAACACACCTGGGGGAAGCGCCGATGAGGATGAGTTTGGAGAAGAGTTGAGGGCGGCGGATGGAAGCCAAGATACCAATCATGGCGGAGACGGAGTGGCCGACGTAAGCGCAGCGGTCAACGCCAAGAGCTTTGAGAATATTAAACAAATCATCGACGTAGGGATCGAGTGTGGTGTACCTGGTGAAATCGAAGTAATCGGGGTTGACACTGCCGGCACAAACGAGGTCGTATAGAATTATACGATACGAAGGTGTAAAAAGCGGGAGGATTCGTTGCCAGACCGATTGGTCAGTGCCGAAACCGTGGGCCAGGACCAGGTACCGGTCGCCGGAGCCAACAACCCGGACGTTCAAAGCATCTAAAAGGTTGTATCCCATGCTTTAAGAGTTGTACTAGCTAGGAAACTGTAGTGCTTGGGTAGGTTTGGTTTAGTCTTTATATTAACCAAAAGCCATCTCCATTGGGTGGAAGGTTTAGTGAGCTTGATAGAGATGGTTTTATCTAACTGAAGTAATCATGGTAACAAAATTGACCGGATAGTTATGTGGTACACCCTATAGGGCTGTAAATGGAATGAAATAGATCGTGAGTTATTTGAGATAGACTTGATCAAGATTCGATAAATATTCGGATTGAATGAACTCGAGCTCGACTCGAATTCTTAACGAACCGAAACGAACTACTTGATACTCAACTCGAAAAGCTCGTGAGTAGCTCGAAAGTATAATATATAAGATTATATTTTTTTAAAAAAAATTATTAATATTTATGTATTGATTTTTTTAAAGAGAATACATTAAGATTTTCATGCATTTAAGGTTCAGGTTTGAGTTCGAGTTTGAGGCTTCAATTGAATTCAGTTTAAGAATTTTTTTCTTCATTTTGACCCTTTTCGAGTTACTCACGAGCTTCAGTTTAGGATTTCGAGTTCGAGTCGAGTTTAAAAACTTTAAACTCGCGATTTTTTGAGTCGAGTCGAGTCGAGTTCAATTTCAGAGTTTTCGAGTCGAGTCGAGATCAGCAATACTCGAACTCGAACCCGCT